AAACACTTCCAGTGCTCTCAGGAGCTGTGGGGTCGGTACGAGCGAGGCAGCCAGTGGCACCTACTAGGACCATTGCGGAGGATGCTATCTCCTAGCCCTGCACAGATCACAGGAATGAAAAAGATTCCTTATGTGATCTTGTTAGGAAAGAAAAAAAATTTTTTTAATTAAGAAACAGTACAAGAAAATAAATGGTATGAGGCTCTATATAATCTAAAAGGTGAAATACAGACAGAGCCTCAAATCTTTGAGTGGAAACTAGCAGATTTTTCTGGAAAGGGCCAGACAGTAAATATTTAGTAAATATTTGGGACCACAGTATCTCTGTTGCAACCACTCAACTCTGCTCTCGTATCATAAAAGCAGCCTCAGAGAATTCCTTAAAGGAAGGAGTGTGGCTGTGTTCCAATAAAACTTTATTTAAGACAAAGGGAGGTGAACCAGTTTACCAATCTCTGAGAGAGTGTTTCTTGAGGAATCTAGAGAAGAGACGTGTAGGAGGCTTGCTTCATTTTCAAAAATGCAAGTAAACACCAGAAACAATGTATTCCTTGATACTCACTGTTTCCTGACAATCCTTTTAAAAATCACAACCCCTTTTCCACACTCCCAGTCCCCCTGCCCCACAGCACTTCTCACCCATTAACATTCTATTTATTTCTTCTGTCTCTTATTTAGTGTCTGCCCTCCCCTTGCTAAAACATATGTCCCCTAAGGGACAGGGCCTTTGTTTTCTTTTTTTTTTTTTTCTTTTTTAAATATTGTATTTTATTTATTTTGACAGAGAGACACAGGAAGAGAGGGAACACAAGCAGGGGGAGTGAGAGAGGGAGAAGCAGGCTTCCCACCAAGCCGGGAGCCTGGAGCCTGATGCGGGGCTCGATCCCAGAATCCTGGGATCATGACCTGAGCCGAAGGCAGACGCTTAACGACTGAGCCACCCAGGTGCCCCAGGGCCTTTGTTTTCTAATGTAACCCAAATTCCTCAGGTAGTGACAGTCATATATAGTAGATCTTTAATAAATATTCATTGAACGAGCTGAGTGAAGGCCAGGCCTGGCTCCAGAACCCATTTCATGCTTACCTGTGTCTGTCTCACCCACTGTTCTCAGGAATCTACCCACTCTTCCACCTTTATGCACCGGCAGAATCTCATACGTACTTGCTTTTACACTGATTTGCAATGATCTTTTAACATAATCTGTTTCCACTAGCAGTTTATAAGCAATTTAAGGACAGAGACTGGGTCATTTTGGCAATCTCTCCCCAGCACGAGGCACTGCTTAATGTCTTCTGATGTATGAATCAATGGATACGATCTGAATTCAGTCCCCAGTCCTGCCCACCCTACCTGGGGCTCCGGTACCACAGGGGGGGGGGCTATCTGGCCCCCACTCACATCCAATCCTGCTATTCTAAGAACCTGTAATGTACCAGGCTTTGACTCTACTCAGGACTGAATGCTGGATCAATATAAGAGCAACAAGATTTAGGATTATGATACTACCCTCAGTTTATGGCACAGTGCAGGGAAATAGGCCATGACCTCCAGAAACTGGCATACAGTGTAGAAGGTTCAGTTCTGGGGGGGGGTCAGGAACTGTGCCTTGGTCACCTTTGTACTGACTCCTCAATGCTTCACACAGCACCTGGCATTATATGGGAACCAATAATAATAAACATTCTGGAAGCTCATACTAAGTGCTAGGCCCTGGACTGAACGCAATATGCAAATCATGTCATTTCATTTTCACAATCTGTTTTAGAGATGAGGAAATGGAGGCTCAGAGAAATTGTAACTTGCCTCAGGGCACACAGCAAGTGCGTGGCCGAACAGGGACCTATGCCCATCGCTCCAAAGCCAGTGCTTTAAGACATGCCACTAGTAATGGAGAGAAGCAGGGAGGAAGACAGGGAGGGAGAGGGGAAGGGAGATGGGGTGGAGAGGGAAGGAAAAAGAACAGTGCCAAGGGAGTTAGAAAGAAGACACTGGCGTGTCTCCCTGAAGAAATCGGGGATGAGCAGCTGCATGGAAAAGGCGGTATCTGAGTTAGGACTTGCAAGACGGGTGAGCAAAATTGGAACTTGCAGAGCTGAGGAGCCCCCTATCTACCCACTGAGTATACAGCGGCAGGTAAGGTAGAGACGCACATTTCAAAAGATTTGGGGAGAGAAGGGACCATAGGGCTTGCCTTCCTACGAGGCTCAGACCTACAGGGAGAACCGAAGGTAGAAAGGACTGGGGCAGTGGAGAAGCGGCCAGGGCTAGGAAGTGAGAGCCAAGAAGACAGGGCTGGTGATCACAGATGCTGAAGGTCAAGGGACTCGGTTTAGAGTGAAGGCGCCAAGGTGGAAAGTGGTCCGAAGGGCCGAAGTCCCCGCTCTTTAGGGTCAAGTCAAGGGGTAGGGGGTGGGGGATGATGCGGAGAGAAGAGCTTAGAAAGACCAGGAACAAGGTGTTTAAGAACAGAGAACTGTACTGGATAGCTGCATAACGGGTCAGATAGAGGGGGCCAAAGGGGTTAGAGGGTCCGGAGGAGATGGGCGGGAGAGAGGAAAGGAGGCACAGGCTGCAATCAGAGGTGTCAGGACACCGGAGCCCAGTAGGCTGGGTTGGGAGTGGCGGAGAGAAGCCGATCGCGGAGTCGAGAATACGCGCGTCCTAGGGCATAGGTCTGGGTTCTGAGTAGCCGGATGGGTTGGGAGGGGTAGGGGAGGAGTAGAAGAGGGGTAGGGACTGACCCCCAAAGTATGGTCTGTGCCAGGGGGCTGGACTGAAAAGCCAACAGGAGGGCTTGTGGGGAAGGCTGGGGAAGCTGCCTAGCCGCGCGGGCCAGGGGCGGGGGCCAGGGGTCGGGGCGAAGGGACCACCGGGTCCCATTTGCTCCCCACCGAGTCCAGCGAGCAAAGCCACAGCCTCTAACTCCCTGGAGGAAGGGAGGCGGCCATGCTCACGGTTCCCCGCGAAGCCGGGCCCGCCACCCACCCCCGCGACCTCGGGCCCAAACCGGACCCACCTCGCTCCCGCCGCTCCGTCAGGGACAGCGCCGCCTCAGAGGGCCGGGGGAGGAGCCGGAGCCGGAACCCAGAGAGGACCCGCCCTACCTCTCCAGGATTGGTTTCTGAGGAGGACCCTTTCTTCCCACTGGCTGTGCTGGCTGCCACAACGCGAGAAACCCAGGCGGTCCCGCCAATAAGTTTTGGCCTCGGGCAAGGCCTGCTGGGAGTTGTAGTCCTGAGGAAGAGCGCAGACTCGGAGAAGGAATTTGCGAAGTTGAGAACTGAGCAGTTGGGACTGAGTTTCCTCCTGAGGTCCTCGGATTTCTTTCCACGTTCACGCGTTAAAAGCCCAACGTGTGAGGCCACCGGTCTGGCCAGTAGTAATGCGTAGAGCTAACCTGCATAACCACCAAGGGATCATGAACTCAGTTTCTTCTTTACTGTGAGTTGGTGGCACTTGACGGTCCGGTAGACATCCCAGTAGGCATCCGCTTTTTCCTCGATAATTTTAAAGTCAAAGGATTGTAGAGCTAGAAGGGGGAGTAAAGATCAACTAACCCAAAACGTTTGTCAGAGAACTAAACGTTCCCTGTGTGAGGAGCTGCCTCTGGGTCCCCCAATGCTCCTGCACAGGGATTTTTCTGGGTCCTACCTCGGTAAACCTGAAAGCCGGCACAATAAGACTTCCCAGGTATTTCCAGGATGAAGATTCCCCCCCCCCCCCCAGGTTTTAGTTAAGAAGAAGTAGTCTAATAGAATATTCTCATATCTGCAACGGTATTTCAGTGCAAAGAGCAAAGAATAGTGTCTTCAGAGCTAGATAAATTAGATTTATAATCCCAGTTCTACCGCCTAGCCATTTGGAGCACCATCCCCCTCCCCCATAAAATCCCCGGTAGAATTAAAGATTAAATGAGTTAAAGCTTCTGCTTCCACAAATATCAGTTCTCTTTCCCGCTGGTAAATTTCTCTTGGGTGCAGCCAGTGTGAACAATGGGAATTAGTTTTAGGATTAAGATATTCAGGAAAGTATGTTTGAAACTGAGTATGAATGAGCGAAATATAAATCCCCCACATACACTACTGCTTATAAATTGATTAAAATGCTGAGAAGGCAGATCAGAAATAAAACTGTGGCTTTGTTTCTAACTGTGGTTAAAGCGTGCTTGGGTGGATTCAAGGCTGTTCAAATACCAATTCCGTAAGATGTTTTCCTGTTACCAGTGCAAAGCCCTTCCCCACAACATCTCATTCATGATGAAAATAACATCATGCCAAACAACAAATATCAAACTTTTATTTAAGAACTATACAAAAGCAAATAAATTTCACCCCTGCATTGTGATAATTAAACATATATATCAACTTGACCAGGTTACAGGGTGCCCAGACATTTGGTCAAACATTATTCTGACTGTTTCTGCCAAGGGTGTTTTCCAATGAGATTAACATTTAAATTGGCAGAATGAACAAAGCAGATTTCTCTCCCGGATGTGGGTGGGCCCCATCCAATCAACTGAAGGCTTGAATAGAACCAGAAAGCAACCCAGCCCCTAGTGTGAGAGAATTCTTCTTGCCTAAGGGTCTTTAGCCTGGGACATTGACTTTTTTTTCCCCCTACCTTCAGATTCAAATGGAAATTCGGATTCTTCCTGGTGGTCAAGCCTGTCAGCCATCAAACTATGCCATTAGCTCCCCTATGTCTCCAGCTTTCTGACTAACCCTGCAGATCTTGGGACATGCCAGCCTCCATAATCATGTGAGCCAATTCCTTACAGCAAATCTCTATACATATAAATATAACAAATATATATTGCCCTGGAGGACCCTGACTATGACAAGCGCTAACAGAGAGAACTTCCGACAAAAAGACCCAGTTTCCATTGGGTAGAACTGTGTACTCATCTGTGAACTGGTATCAGCCAGTATCTCTACAAAGAGGCCAGATCACGTATGGGAATGACTTCAAAGTGAGGAGGATTCGTTCTGCAAGCCACACTAAAAAAGGAGGTTCAATGTTTTAACCTCGCACAGGAGCTACCAACTTCCTATTTGAAATCAGTACTCTCACCTAAGAGGCTGTTTGCTACACAAGTAGTCAAGTCTTCTAAGATAATGGGCTTATGGGGAAAAATAGCCTCTACACTGGTGGTCAGAACTGCCACTTTTCTAGCTGGACCTCTCTAAATCCCGGGAGGAGATTCGAAAGGACCAGGGTAGCTGACAGACTACATCCATGCCTGTCTTTCCAAGGCCACGCACAGCTGGGCTGCTGTGTTTGAAGCTCTGCATCCCAGCTCCCTGTCGGTGCTCTTGAGGCTTTTCAGGATTATGGCTACCACACTTAAAATCCCTGTACCTGGTTAGCATCAATAGGTAAGTTAGCTTTGAAAACGTGTACATTAGCTCTGGATGGCAGGAAACTATACTGTAAACAAACATCAAGGAAACATAAAGGGAGGGCATGTTTTACTCTTCCAACTTCCCCATCCCATATTCCAGAAGAAGGAAGAGCGTGTGACCCAAAGGAGCTAGAGGCCTGCACTGAGAGAAGGAAAAAAGCCATTCTGGAGGGAATAAGAGAGAAGTCAGGCACCGGGCACCATAACCTCATGACTAAAAGGTCAAGTGCAGGATGAGGCAGGGTGAAGTTCCTTTAACTAGCTCCTCGAGTAGAGGACCCCTGTATCTTGGGGACACACATTTCACCATTCCATCATCCACTAAACCTAATCTGATGGTTGGTTTTCAAGAATTCTTCCAGAGCAATGGGAGCTTTAAGTCCCGGAAGGATGACAGAGTTTAGAACTGAGCGCTGGGTGGAAGGTGGTGTGATTCGAAATCACAAGGTCTAGATCTGGGGAAAGGAGATGGGATGTTTCAGAATCAGTTGTTGGGCCAGCAGACTGAAATCCAGGGCAGGGCGCTGGACCATCAGGGGAGCAGGTAATGAGGTACAGCCCTAAAAAGAAGGAACCTTGAGACCTTGAAGGGCTGGGGCAAGGTCAGAGGGCCAGGGCAGGATCATATCCCTGGGTGGGAAAATCTCCGGTGCCTGAGGGGGGAATAAGGAAGGGTCCACGTTCATGGTCACGTCTCCATTCGCATGACCTTTTTCTTCTGGCTTGCGGCCAGTTGGTGGCTCTGATTTCTGGAGTTCTGAGCAGATGATTAGAGGTGCTGTGTTTTTCCCACCGTCATGAAGGCAGGGCTCAAAGAAAGGGCGAAGGGGGCCAGAGAAGGTGTGGGTGAAAGTAAAGATGTGGGATCTGCTGGTCACATTGTAGAAGGAAATGATGCCTGCCTCATAGTCCAGGAAAATTCCCACGCACCTCGGGGGCTCCTTGAGGCGCAGCGTGGTCTGCGGGGATGTGAGAGCTTCGTACTCCTTCTCACTACTCTGGCGGACAAGCCAGTGTCCGTTGGCAGGCGTGGCAGTGATCTTCCCCTTCCTGCTCACAGACTCACTACACACCCCCAGGGCCCATTTAGTTTTGTCTCCCACGTCCACCTCCCAGTAGTGACAGCCTTCTGTGAAGTACTCAGCGCCCAGGACACTGACAACAAAGTCAAATCGCTGGGGGCTGTCGGGCACAGGCTGCCTTCTGTCTCCAAGCTTCACACATCGCCGGTCCTCAGACAGGATGAGTTTGGGATGTGCTGTGTCCGGGTCCAGGGTCACTGCCACTGCAGAGAGTCACTGACAGGTGAGGCTGGGGAAGGCAAGGTCTTAGGGGATCTTTGGGTAGCTTTGGAGGGAAAGATAATCTCTAGGTCTGTGATCACTGTCATTGGTCTATTTGAGTTCATGTTTCCCCCTCCCCTATATGTATGGGAGCAAAAGAAAACTGTCTTCCAGTCTCCTAGATCTGCTGGGAGTGTATTAAGTTGAAAGAGGAAAAAGTATTTCATCTGTCTATGAAACTGCCTTAATCCCTAAGAAACATTGCCTTCGTCTTCGATGGTCCCAAGGAATGTAATGTATGATAATAAACATAGGCTTTGATGTTAGACCCCGTAGCCAGCTAGGATGTGTGAGTCCCAGCTCTGCCACTTGCTGGTTATGTGACCTTGGGCTTGTTACTTATCTCCCAACTTCAGTTCCTTCTTCTATAAAATGGAAGTAGGGGCTCCCATTTGTACAAATTTTGCTAATACATGAGATGGTGCCTAGTTCACACAGTGAGTGTGTGATGCTCATTTTGTAGTTAAAATCATTGCTTATAATTATCATTTTTAAAGGGTAATATAGATAGAAGGATTCTTCTTTAAAATTGTGGATCATGAGGGTCACAGTGAGTCTCCCCCTTTTGCCAAGCATAGAAAACAGGCTCTTCTTGGAGAGAGAACCCATGAAGTCTGTACTCAGTCAAGGTGGTGGGAGTGAGCCAGACCATGAGTGTCAGAAGGGTTTATGAGCTCCTTGAATGCCAACCAAGGTGATCTGGTGTTTTCTCAAGTGCCAACTCCTCATTTCTATCGTACCTGCCTGAAGGAAGCCATGTGAACAGAAGGGGGATGAGTAGCTGGATGATAAGGACTGCCAGTAGGTGAAAATAACAGGTCTCATTAAAATAGCAGCAAAAAAGGGGCACCTGGGTGGCTCAGTTGTTAGGCATCTGCCTTTGGCTCAGGTCATGATCCCAGGGTCCTGAGATTGGGACCCCACATTGGGATCCCTGCTTGGCAGGGAGCCTGCTTCTCCCTCTCCCATTCCCTCTGCTTGTGTTCCCTCTCTCACTGTCTCCCTCTCTGTCAGATAAATAAATAAAATCTTTTAAAAAAATAGCAGCAAAGGGACGCCTGGGTGGCTCAGTTGGTTGAGCAGCTGCCTTCAGCTCAGGTCATGATCCCAGCGTCCTGGGATCGAGTCCCGCATCGGGCTCCTTGCTCGGCAGGGAGCCTGCTTCTCCCTCTGCCTCTGCCTGCCACTCTGTCTGCCTGTGCTTGCTCTCTCTCTCTCTCTGACAAATAAATAAACAAAATCTTAAAAAAAAAAAATAGCAGCAAAAAAATTGCCAACTATTTAGGAATAAAATGAAAAGAGATGTGCAAATCTTCTAAAATAAAACTATGAAACCTTTTCATAGTGTGTGCTGTGGGACCGTGAGCCTCACCCACTGTCTTCTCTGAGAATCTCAGTCACCACCCCCCAAGAAAACTGATCTTGGAAGAAGGACATGGCAGGTGTGTAGACAGAAATAGGAGCACTGGCTGTTGGTCCAACTGTGGGATAGGAAGGACTTCCCAAATTTGAAAGCATGGAAGAGACTACACAGGAAAAGACAAATAAATTTGACTACAAAAACAAAACAAAACAAAACAATCATATAGAAAAAAAAAACATAAGGAAAGTAAAATGAAAATAAAAAACTTGGAAAAATAAGTTGTGAAAAATATGACAAAGAACTAGTATACTTTATATAGAAAGAACCCTTACAAATCAAAAAGTAGTCTGGACAGGACAGGAACAGACCAGTCACAAAGATGACATCCAAATAACCAACACACTTATGATCAATCTCAAAAATCATAGAGAACCCATAAGAAGATCACAAGATATATATATATATATATCAGTGTTTTAAATGAGGGGAGACTTTCCAAATCTAAACGTGACCCCCCAAATCACAAAGATTTTTTTTAAATTTGATAAGCAGATAAACAGATTTGATTTTAAAAAGCTTTAAATGACAGTCTGCATTCCACAGGACCAGAGCTATGGGCTCTGACATGTGGATGCCCTGACTGGTATAACTTACCAAAGTGCAGCCTCGCCCGCCTCCAGCCTGAAAGACAGAAAGGGGATGCTTGAATTAAAAGGAAAACGGAGAACTCCTGGGGCGTGGGGGCCAAGTGCAGGGGAAGGTGTACCTCACCTGAGTTCGCCGCAGCTCTTTTCAACTCTATAAGAGAAGAAAGAAGGAGATGAGCTATTGCTGGAAATACAGACTCAACGGGAGATCAGGTGGTACGAGAGTTAGAAAAACATGGGACACTTACTCAGTTCACTCCGGAGTTTCTCTGAAGAATAAAAACAGTTGGACCAATCAGAACAAGGACTTCCAGAGTGCTGCAGTCCCATCCCAACCACATTCCCACATCAGACCCTCAGTAGCAGTACACTGAGCTTTCCCATGAAGGGGCTTGCCACAGCCGTGGCTCCCAGCCGTGGGCCAGGGCTCCCCGGGGACAAGGCGGAGGAGAGTCAGCCAGTTTCTGTGCCCGCCAGAACTTTCTGGCAGACCAAGTCAACAACACATCTTCTGCACCTAGGTCACCACAACGTAAACATTTGTAGGATGTTGTGAGAGAAGAATAAAGTCCAAGTTCATTTAAAACCATCACCCAATGTCCATTTGATTTCCTTAGGTATATTTTCTCAATGTAAAATAAAAGAGACATGGCATCACATGTCTGAAGGTTTTTGTGGTTATAAAGAGGTTCTCATACATGAAGTGGTGGAGAAACACTGCTCCACACACTCACTGTAATGAGGATCCCAAAGGGAATGTCACACCTAGGGAATAAAAAGGGTCTCCCAGGAAGCTTCACCCATGGGAGGTGAGCGCTTCCCAGTAAAATCTTTCCCACGTAGAGACCAGATAACAGTTCTGTGGGAAAGAGGAACAGGAAATATTTGAGAAGAGAGGACTTTGAGAGCCAATACATCTCCAAGCCCCATGACCTCAAGTACCCTTGCCCCATCTTCTGCCCCAAGAAGTGAAACTGAGACACTCATCCTAAAGCAAAGACGTCAGCAGAAGGAGGTTTATGCCATAGATGAGCAGTGGAACTTACTGAGGGCTTTATGGAGCCTTCCTAAAAAAACAGAAAAAGGCACGCGTAAATAGATGGGACACAGGAAGGCTCATCACTCCATCCCCTCCCACCTGACCAGTGGAAGGGGTGATGAACCAGCCTGTGGGCCCTGAAACTTCCCGAGGACCTGGACTGCCCGGAACTTTGGGTTTGCCTTTCTTGGCCCTCCCTTTTTTTCCAGCTTTTTCTGTGGTCCCTGTTGAGTGTTTCTGTGTGTTTGTAACTGTGTGCTCACGTACATGTGTCTTGTTGTCCTTTAATAGCCTACTGTTGCTAATAGCGATACTGTGAGACTCCCAGTCAGAGACAACCCCACTATACCACACCGTGCCTTCCGCCCCTGGACAGAATGGCCATAGCATCCCAGAGGTGGGCGCACCCACACTTTCACCAACTTGAAGGAGATGGGATGCAGAAATCGGGGCAGACAGAGCCATTTCGAGCCAGGGACTTGTCTTCCCAGAAAGACCTTCCAAGGGCAGAGCCCCCTGTTTTTTTTGGTACCCTGGATGTGTCTGACTTCTACTCTCAGTGGTCCAGGGCAAACCCTCAATTAACGAAGATGACAGGTGGGAAGGGAAAGGGGTACCAGGCTTTGTAATAAGAACTTTTTAAGTTGTCTATTTTAATCCTGAAAACAATCAGGTGAGGAGACTCACTGTCCCCATTTTACAGATGGGGAAACCAAAGCTCAGAGCAGTGAAGTACCTTGTCCAAGGCCAGTAAGGGGCACACTGGTGATCTGAGCCGAGTGTCACTGAACCAGCCCTTTTCTGTAGAGCCTGGGATCCTCCCATCATATCACACTGCCTCTCTCAATGCAAAAGCTGTATGGAGTTCTGAGATGCTCATACACCCCATATGACCATAATAATACCTTTTCAAATAATAAGTAGACCTTCTTTTTAAGTGATTGGTGGAAAGGCTGATGAAGGGAGCTCAGGACAATTCAGACCTGTGAATGTTGATCAAGGGCATCCCCTCACCATGGTTGCTCTATAGCCCCTTGATATGGGAAAGTAAATTCCAATAATATTAATGGAAGGTGTGTGTGTTTGTGTGTGTGTGTGTGATGTGTGTATGACAGACTGTCAACATTCATGTAGAAGTGGAAAGAATATGTTCTTTGTTATTTGTCCCCTACTCTTTATTCTGTACATATAATTACCTTTTTCTTTTGCGTGGTTTGAGAGAAGATTTTCTAGAGGAAGAAAAGTAAATGAGATTCTGTGCCATTACTTTGACGGTCCCCAACTCCTACTGAGTTCACCTGCCTTTGAGGCTCCCTATCTCTACCTCCTTGACCCAGGCCCTCACCATCTCTCATCTGGATAACAGAAACGGTGCCCCCCACCAGCCCCCTTCAACCTGTCTTGCTTCCTCTGGTCCCTTCTTAACACTGCAGCCAGAGAGCTTCTCGAAGCACAATTCTGGTAAGGACTGCCCTGTTCACTGTTTTACCACTGCTCCGAGAAGAAAAACGAAAGCCCTTCACATGATCTGCAAAGCCTCCCCTAGCCTGACCCCTGCTAAGTCCACAGCCTCATCCCCTGGCACCTTTCCCCTCACTTCTGCACTGTGTGTCTTTTGCATGTTGTTCTTTCTGCTGTGGAAGGTTTTCCGTTCCCTCTTCCTCCAAGCCTGCCCATCTTCCAGATCAAACATCCTCTGGGGACTCCGCTCCTGTCCTTCAAGTTTGGTTGGTTGGTTCCTCCTGGATCTAGTCTTTACGGCCCTTAGAACTTCCTCTCATGGCATGTGTGCACATTTATCTATGTAATTACTTCACTCACATCTGCTTCCCTGACTGGACTGAAAGCTCCAAGAAGGCACAGACTGTATCTGCTTTTACTTGCCATTGTGACCCCAGCATCTAGTATAGTCCTGGGCACTTAGTAGACAATCACTAATTGTTTGTTGAACAAATAAAAGCTCCCCCCATGTTAGACTTACATGACTCCCACAGATCAAGCAGTGAGTTCGCATACAAAAATCACCAAACATACTAGAAGGCAAGCTCTGACAAGAAAGTGTCTGTGAAAACTGGAAAGGACGGTAAAGATGTCCCACCACCCCTGCCTGTAAGGACAGCAGATACTGGGATTTTCAGCTAATCTAAAACTAACAAAATGAATAAAACACAGTAACATCTCCACCCAACTCAGGACACTTACCTACCTCCATCACCTGTTCATAGAGAAGCTTCTCTAGAAGACAGAAAGAGAGAGGTATCAGTTCAGTTTAAGGAAGGGCTTTTTCTAATAGGCAGAGTTGTCCAAAGATGGCCCAAGCTGCCCAGGAGGACTTTGCTCCTTGTCATTCTGGGCGTGTGTCTATTTGAAAAGATTAGCGGGTCTTCAAACCATCAGATAAGGGAAGGAATATTGGATTCCCTGACTCTCAGGGTCATGTTCAACCCTGTGATCCTGTGAAATTCAACCATATTTATGGGGTTTTATCTCATGGCTAGAATTGTGTTTCTTAATTAACTAGCAGGCTGGCAAGATCAGTTCTTTCCTAATTTATCAAAAGATAATGATTCACAGCTCTGTCCCGGATTTTTCTGCAGTTTCTCTGACCTTCTCTGCATTGGGAGTTCCCAAGCAAGGCTCTACCAGTTAGTTCTCTCTCTGCCATTTTGCAGGGTCTCCAACCTACAGGTAATTCACGTCCATGTCTACTTCTTCCTGGACATTTCCTAGAGAAGCCCATCCCACTTCTTGCCAGCCGGGGCTCCCTTACCACTTAGTTACCTTTTGATCTTCTTTGCTTCCAGATGAGGTAAATGCCCACAATGATGAGAATCCCCAGGACAGGCAGGATGACAGCAAGAGCCACTGTTGAGGAGGAGATCCTCCCTGGAGAAGGGGCTAAAACAGAAACCACCAATGGCCACCCTCAAAGAGACATCCAACAGCTTCTCCCATGCCACAGACCCCACTTCAGATGGCAGATGGCTCAAGCACATCCCAACTTCTTGGGTAGAGAGAGACTTCTAGCCAAGAATGTTGGGGGAATGACCCAGGGATGATTTTAAAGTGAGATGTTCATTTCTTAGGGGTAGTTCTGATTGTCCTGCCTGAAGACAACAGGTTAAACTCCACTTTTCAACCACAACCTTGTCCTGTCCTAGATGGAGCCATTATCTGGGGACTTTGAAGGATAGGAGGGGCTTCCTCAGGGATCATCTCTAGTCTTCTCATGAGCACCCACCTGTCTCCGCATCAAGTCCTCACTCTGCTGTGAAATAACAAGTCAGTGAGTGACATCTTGGCCCTGAGCCCTACCAGCAGGGGCAGAACCATTTCTGTGGTGCTATAGCAGGAGACCTAAAGCCTGGGCAAGAAGAAAGGAGAAAGGAAAGAAGAGAAAAAGAGCAGAAGAAGCTCTGTGACCCATGGGAAGAGTCTCAGCTGGATGCGAGACCTCACTCAGCAGTATGTGACCCTGGGCAAGAGACTGAGCCTCCCCAAGCCTAGCTGACCATCTAGGAAATAGAGATGATATAACTCCTGTCCCGTTGGGTTGTAAGGAGACTTACCCAGGAGAGTAAAGCACTTAGCACTTCATGAGAGGCAGTGGCAGTAGTAAGGGAAGGGAGGGGGACAGAGAGAAAAAAAAGAAGGGACTCACAGAAGTCCTGATCCCTTCTGATCTGGGACCCCAGGCCACAGTCTGTCTTTCCTGGCTCCAAAACCACTCTGCTTTACCACATGGCTCCATGTTTAAAGGGTCTTTAAAAGATTCACACCCTTTGGATCCCTTAATTTTACTTCCAGAAATGCATTCTAAGAAAATAATCAGAATCACATCCCAAAATATGTGCAAAGATGTTCACTGAATCATTCGTTATAATAGGAGGAAAAATTGGAGACCACCCAGATGTCCAGAAATAGGGCTCTGATTAATTTTATTATACTATAACCACACAACGAAGTACTGTGTAGCTCTTAAAAATCATGCTGCAGAGAACTACTTAAGGACATGGGCAGAAAATGCTCAGGACGTTGTAACTAAAGGAAAAAAGACCCAGCGGAATACATATATGAAAACACACACACTCAAGAGATGGAGACATACAAGAATGTCTTGAAAGAAATGCCCCCAGAGGTTAGCAGCAGTTCTAATTTATGACATAACAGGCCATTTCCGGTTTCTTTATAATGTTCATCACTTTTTCAACTTTTCTACCACAAACATGTGTTCCTCACAGAATTTTAAAAATCTGAAAATTCTTTATAAAGTTTCCACTCAGGTAGGAGTTTTCCGCAGGGGCTTCGAGCCCGTTTACTGCCCTGGCTTTTACCTGCTATGAGCATGGCTGTGGTCTTCTCTTGGCCAAGGGCCAAATTGTGGACGGTGCAGGACACGTTCCCCAGCGTGCTGTCCCTGACTCTGCTGGACACCGCGATCCGGAAGAGCCCAGCTTCCAGGACATGGACATCCGACAGGGGTCGAAGCACTCTGCCTTGAGGGTCTTTCCACTGGGCCAAGGGCTGTGGAAACCATCCCGCGGACCTGCACACCAGCTGGATCCATCCAGCGTCGTAGCCCTTCACGTGGATGTAAGGGTCGGAGCCTAGAACTGGAGGGAGACGGGGAACATAGGTGCCTGACAGTGGGGGCGCGGTCCCCGCCAGAGCTCTGGCCCCCTTCCTGCAGCATCCCCGGGGGAGGCGGGGCTGTCCTGGCCACTTGCGGGCCCGCCCTCTCAGCAGCCCCATGCTCCTCCCAACCGGGTGAGAGAGAGTCTCTGGCTTCATCCTCACACTTCGCAAATGCACCCCTGGGGTAACTGCATCCCACGATTCAGGTCTTGGGGGTACCTCTGTCCCCACTTTGTAAATGACTAACCTGCCACCTGCAGGGTCACGGTGCCGTCCCGAGTCAGGTTTCCGATCTGGACCTCGCATTGGTACAGCCCTCGGTCCTCCAGCCGGACGTGGCGGATCTCCAAGGACACGCTCCCCTCTCCCGGGTCCCTCCGCAGCGCCGTCCGCCCCTTGTATTCCGGCATCACGCCTTCCTCCCGGTCTCTCCCGTCGCGGAACACGTGCACGACCTGGGAGCGGTCCGGCCTTGGGGACCGTAGCCACGTCACCGCGGTGGGTACGGTGACCGGCCACAGGGGGATGGGGCAGGGCAGTTCGGCTGTGCCCCCTAGTGGGGCCAGGTGGTAGTCGTCGGCGTCCCCTGCGTAGTGCGGACAGAAAACAGACAAGGGCGTGTGGGCGCGACCAGAGAACAGCCGCGCGGCGGTGGGTGAAAGGGATGTCTTGGCGAAGAGCAAGGCCAGGGAAGGGCATTGGAAAGGACTCGGCGGGGAGGGGTGGGTGGAATAGAACGCGGGAAGAAATAAGGCCCCTTGTTCTTGGGACTCGTTGGGCAGAGGTCCCAGGCAGGGAAAGAGGCTCACCAACTCCTACCTGACAACGGCAGGGGCAGCCAGAGGAACATAAGTGCCACGAGGCAGCTGCAGAGCCAGGAACCAGAGGAACTTGCCATCTCCGTGGGAACTAGGAGGACAGATGCAGGGAGACACCAGAGAGGGCTGGTGAGCTTGATGTGGGTGCCGGGACAGTGTAAGGAGGTGGGGCGCCAGTGAGGGCTGCTTGGCCAACGCTCTGGAATCACACAGCCCAGAGTTGGAATCCGAGCTCTGCTACTTATCTCCATGTCAACTTGTAACTTAACTTCTCTGGGTAACCTTGTAACTGAGACTCTGTTTCTCTGTTTTTAAAATGGGTATAGTAACTGTGCCTTCTGGCAGGATTATTGTGAGGGTTGAAGGACGGAAGTGCTCAATGTGGAGGCGGGGTCATGGGTGTCTATGAATGCCATGAGTGAGGACCATGGTGATACGGAGGGTGAGGCACTGAGTGTGATTTGGAAGGCTGAGGGAGGATTCTGGAAGAACAAGAACTTACACTGGGGACTAAACAGGTGCACATCAGGATACTGGCTTCTTCTAGCACTCAGTGTCCCAAGACAGACTTGGAATGGGCCTGTGGTTAGCCTGTCTTCTACCGACAGTGGATTCAAGTCTTGGCTCCACTCATGGGCTAGCTCCATGGCCCTGGGAACATTCTTAATATCTGTGGGCCTCTAGTGCTTAATCTATAAAGGTGGAAACTTCTTCCCAGGTTCAAGAAGGCAATGCATGGAAAGATCTTGCCACAAAGGCCTCGCAGAACAAGTGTTCAGTAAATATGCTGTAGTTGTTATTACTGAATCAATGAGTGCATGAACCACAAGCACACCCCAGAGGATTCCCTACTTGAAAACTCTCTTCCAAGTCAAACTCTCACTCTTTGCAGATGAAATGATACTTTATGTGGAAAACCCAAAAGACTCCACTACAAAACTACTAGAACTCATACAGGTATTCAGTAAAGTATCAGGATATAAAATCAATGCACAGAAATCAGTTGCATGTCTATACACCAACAAGAAGACTGAAGAAAGAGAAATTAAGGAGTCTGTCCCATTTACAATTGCACCCAAAACCATGAGATACCTAGGAATAAACCTAACCAAAGAGGCAAAAAATCTGTACTCGGAAAACTATAAAGTGCTCATGAAAAAAATTGAGGAAGACACAAAGAAATGGAAAAATGTTCCATGTTCCTGGATTGGAAGAACAAATATTGTGAAAATATCTATGCTACCTAAAGCAATTTACACATTTAATGCAATCCCTATGAAAATACCATCAATTTTTTTCAAAGAAATGGAACAAATAATCCTAAAATTTGTATGGAACCAGAAAAGACCTCGAAAAAGAAAGCCAAAGTTGGTGGTATCACAATTCCAGACTTGAAGCTCTATTACAAAGCTGTCATCATCAAGACAGTATGGTACTGGCACAAAAACAGACACATAGATCAATGGAACAGAATAGAGAGCCCAGAAATGGACCCTCAACTCTATGGCCAACTAATCTTCGACAAAGCAGGAAAGAATGTCCAATGGAAAAAAGACAAGCTCTTCAACAAATGGTGTTGGGAAAATTGGACAGCCACAGGCAGAAGAATGAAACTGGACCATTTCCTTACACCACACACAAAAATAGACTCAAAAATGGATGAAAGACCTCAATGTGAGAAAGGAATCCATCAAAATCCTTGAGGAGAACACAATTAGCAACCTCTTCGACCTCAGCTGCAGCAACGTCTTCCTAGGAACATCGCCAAAGGCAAGGGAAGCAAGGGCAAAAATGAACTCTTGGGACTTCATCAAGATCAAAAGCTTTTGCATAGCAAAGGAAACAGTCAACAAAACCAAAAGACAACTGACAGAACGGGAGAAGATATTTGCAAACGACGTATCAGATAAAGGGCTAGTATCCAAAATCTATAAAGAATTTACCAAACTCAGCACCCAAAGAACAAATAATTAAATCAAGAAATGGGCAGAATGAACAGAAATTTCTGCAAAGAAGACATCTGGATGGTCAACAGACACATGAAAAAGTGCTCCACATCACTCGGCATCAGGGAAATACAAATCAAAACCATAATGAGATACCACCTCACACCAGTCAGAATGGCTAAATTAACAAGTCAGGAAATGACAGATGCTGGTGAAGATGCAGAGAAAGGGGAACCCTCCTACACTGTTGGTGCGAATGTGAGCTGGGGCAGCCACTCTGGAAAACAGCATGGAGGTTCCTCAAAAAGTTGAAAATAGAGCTACCCTACGACCCAGCAATCACACTACTGGGTATTTACCCTAAAGATACAAACGTAGTCCCCCTCTCCCACCCTCTGCCTGCCTCTCTGCCTAATTGTGATCTCTGTCTGTCAAATAAATAAATAAATAAAATCTTTAAAAAAAAAAAAAGATACAAACGTAGTGATCTGAAGGGGCACGTGTACCCGAATGTTTATAGCAGTAGTGTCCACAATAGCCAAACTATGAAAAGAACCTAGATGTCCATCAAAGGATAATGGATAAATAAGATGTGGTGTATATATACAATGGAATACTATGCAGCCATCAAAAGAAATGAAATCTTGCCATTTGCGACGATGTGGATGGAACTAGAGGGTATTATGTTGAGCGAAATAAGTCAATCAGAGAAAGATAATTATCATATGATCTCTCTGATATGAGGAATTTGAGAGGCAGGGCAGGGAGGTGTGGGGGGGGTAGGGAAGGAAAAAAATGAAACAAGATGGAATTGGGAGGGAGACAAGCCATAAGAGACTCTTAATCTCAGGAAACAAACTGAGGGTTGCTGGGGGGTGGGGGGGTGGGGAGAGGGTGGTTGGATTATGGACATTGGGGAAGGTATGTGCTATGGTGAGTGCTGTGAAATGTGTAAGCCTGATGGTTCATAGACCTGTGCCCCTGGGGCAAATAATGCATTATATGTTAATTTTTAAAAAAGAAAAAAAAAAAAAGTACTTGCTACTGCCAGAAGTTCCTCTAGTAGGAAACAAGTCTTTCATGCCACAACTGGGGATGAAGTTTAATTCTAAAAACTCTGGAGAAGTGGGGCAACTGGATGGCTCAATCAGTTAAGCATCAACCAGACTCTTGGTTTCAGCTCAGGTCATGATCTCAGGGTTATGAAGTTGAACCCCGCATCAGTGCCCACGTTGGGCATGGAGCCTGCTTGGGAGATTCTCCCTCTCCCTCTGTCTGTCTCCCCAGCCCCAGTCAAGCTCTCTCTCTCTATCTAAAAAACAAATAAACAAAAAACCCCAACAGAGATATTGTCTCTTGAATTCTCCCCAATATTTCAAATCCTCTCAAAGAGGAGGGTTTTTGTAGAAGTCATCAGGCTAGGCCCCTGAAGGTTTTGGAATTGGGCAAAACAGGACTTAGAGGAGGTGGAACTGTCAAAGGGAGTTTGGGAAACTGAAGATGGACTTAAGCTTTGAACAAATTTCCAATCCTTTCTCTCGTGGCAAACAGCACACTGCTTTAGGGTTGTTTTTGTTTTGTTTTTGTTTTTCAATCATGATGCACATAACATCCATCTCTAATCCCCTAGGGTTACAATTGGCAACACAGCAGCAGGACACAGTGTGGTTAGGACTGTGTTACAGTCAAGACTTTTTCCCCCTCTCTATCCCACCCATTTTTCCCACAGGTTACCAGCTACTCAGAAATTGAAGAGAAGTTAGGTAAAGGAGAAAGGCTCTCTGCCTTATCAGTTATCATCCAAGGTGGAGCATCTGGGTGGCTCAGTCGGTTAAGCATCAGCCTTCAGCTCAGGTCATGATCTCAGGGTCCTGGGATTGAGTCCCACATCAGGCTCTCTGCTCAGTGGGGAGCCTGCTTCTCTCTCTCCTCCCCTACTTGTGCTCTCTGCTGCTCTCTCTATCTCTCTCTCAAATAAATAAATGAAATCTTTAAAAAAAAATTATCATCCCACGGAGAGCCTGCTTCCTCCTCTCTCTCTGCCTGCCTCTCTGCCTACTTGTGATCTCTGTCTGTCAAATAAATAAAGTCTTTAAAAAATTATAGTCCACGGTGGAAGTAGGCAGGGCCTGAGATCCCTGGCAGTTACCCTAATCCCCAAAACCCTCAACTAGAAGGTGCTTTTGTAACATCCCTTGGGTAGACGTGCCCAGAGTGACACAGAGCTCCATGCTGAACTGGGGCTGCTTGTAGTCAAGGAAGAGGAGAACCCCACGGTCCCATCTTCTGAGATTCAGATAGATTATTAAGTGATTAAGAAGATGGGCTCTAGAGTCAGCTTGGGTTCCAGCTCTGGCTCTGCCATTACCTGGTTGTGTGACCTTAGACAGGTTAGTTAGTTAGTTAGTAATATAATTGGTTGGTTTCTCCAAGTCTCCTCTTAATTCACACATGAAATGAAGCTAATAATAGTACCTATCTCATAGCTAGGGTTATAGTAAGGATTCCCAGAAAATACATGTGAAATCATTTGCACCAGATTCTAAAAATAAAAAAGCAAATGAAGTCCTTCCATCATGCTGTCACTCTGTAAGAGGGCAGCTGAGGTGGCCTGAGGAGGGGAGTCTCCCTGAAGCATATTACCAAGTTACCGATGAACAGAAAGTGGCTGTGGGAGCAGACTAACCCCGGGGAGGATGACATCAGAAGTAGGATATTCACTCTCTAGTCAAAAAGAGAAATGCAAATTAAGGCCATGGTTAGATATGTTTTGTCTTCCTTTCAAATTATCTAATATTAAAAAAAAACAAACCCAGAATTATCACACATGTGGGCAAACCAACTCTCTTGTTCATTGCAAAACAACTGTCACAAGTATAAGTTAGTCATAAGTATCAAATGATTTGTAAATATGCAAAAGTTTTAACCCAGGAATTCCACTTCCAGAAAAGAATCTTATAGGAATCAGTAAGGATGTGTATAAGGATTTGCTGGTCAGGATGCTCATCACAAAGTAATTTTTTTAAAAAATATTTTATTTATTTATTTGACAGACAGAGATCACAAGTAGGCACAGAGGCAGGCAGAGAGAGAGGGAGGGAAGCAGGCTCCCCGCTGAGCAGAGAGCCCGATGTGGGACTCGATC